GTAAAGACAGAAGCAAGGCAAGCCCCAAAATAGCATTTTAACTAGTCAAATCATGGCCAAACAGCAAACCAAGATAGGGCAAAACTAGCATGCAAGAAATGGCCTAAACATGGATAAGAAGCAACTCATAGCTGATGTCTCAAAACAGGTTAGGCCCTTCAACAAAGTTGAAGAGAGGGCCCAAAATATGATGTTTTTCAGAAACTATAAAAGCCCCAAAAACAAACACAGGTATGCCGCACTCTCATGCAAGAAAAAGGGCAAAAGTGGCCAAAGAGGCAAGTGGTATATGAAAAAGCCCAAACTGAAAAATTCCCTTCTACAACATTGAAGAGGGACAAAAAATATGACTATTTCAGAACTGTAAAATGCCAAAACAGTATACAAACATGCGTAGAAATGCAATGCAAAATTGAGGCTCCAAAAGTGGCTATAACACAAAGTTATACAAAACATTCCACAAACGCCAAAGACCCTTAATGAAACATGAAGAATGGGCCAAAATAAGACTATTTTCAGAACTGTAAAATGGCCAAAAACAAAAGCATGATAGGCTAACAAAACATGCAAGGAATGGGACCAAAAGAGAGATATAATATGAAGTGGCATATGATGTCCCAAATGGGTTTGAGCCCTAAATGAAACTATGAAGAATGGGCCAAAATAAGACATTTCCAGAACTGTAAAATGCCAAAACAAAAGCGACAATAGGCTGGCCATAGCATGCAAAAATGCGGACAAAAAGGGAGTATAAAGGCAAGTATAGCATGGAGTCCCAAACAAATGTTGAGCCCTTCTTCAGTTGAAGAGGGGCTCAAAATAAGCCTATTATCAGTTTACAACATGCTCCAAAATAAATCACACACAAGCAAAATATATGCAAGAAAATGACATTTTAGAGGGATAATGAAGCAAGTGCAAGATGAGGCCAAACAGGGTTGAGCCCTTAATGAGACATAAAATGAGCTCAAAAATAAGGCCACTTTCAGTTATGGCCGAGCCAAAACAAAAAGCATAGAGGGATTAAAAAATACAAGAAAAGGGCAAAGTGGTGAAGTGCAACTCACCCTTGAAGACCAAAGCTTTTGTTGCTTCTTGGACCAAATTTGTGCCTCTAGCTGCTGGAATTCTTCCTCCTTGCTGCTGAAATGGAGTGGTGGTGGTAGAGCTTGTGGGTGATGAAGAAAACAAGGTGTAGGACTTAAGGATTTTTAGAAAACGAGGAAGATGGAGGAGAATGTGTATTGAGGCTTGAAGACAATTTTTCCAACCCCAAAATATGATATGGCCTGCTGGTTATAAGGCCAAAAAGGGGTGTAAAGGTGGGAAAAAGGAGGCCAACTTTCCCCCACAAAATATCCCCCGATATTGATATTTTCTGGGGGATTAAAGCTATACAGCTGTAAAGTGAACAGTGTGAGGATCTCGGCCGGCCAGTTATTTTGGTTGCAGGTGGCGGCCGGCCACACCCCCTAGCCGCCGGCTAGGGTCAAAAGGTCAAGCTGATTTAGTGGCCGGCCACCACATGATGGTGTCCTCACCATGTGTGACATCACAAATATGTGGTTCAAAGTTCAAAAATGCCCCAAGGTGTTCAACATTAGCCCGGAAGGAAGGTTCAAAAGGGTCAGGTGGAATTACTAGCCGGCCACCAACTTTTAGGATCCTCCCAATGTGTACATCACAAATAGTGGTTCAAGTTCAAGAATGTGGA